ATCTGGAGATTCTAGCAAGGAGAGAATTAGGTCAGAAAAAGAATGAAAAAGTATCCAAATGGGGGAAAAAAGGAAGTAAAATGGTCTTTGACATAATCCTGTATGAGAAAATCCTAAGGAACACACACACACACCACTGCAACCTAATGTTGACCCATACACAACACACACATACAAATTATTATAACTAATAATTCTATTCAGCAAGGTTACAGGATACAAAATCAATACACAAAAGTCAACTGTATATCTACATACTTGCATAGAAAATTCAGAGAGTATTATTAAGAAAATAATTCCACAGTATCATCAAAAAGAATAAAATTGGAATCAATTAACAAAAGAAATGGAAGACTTTTACAATGAAAGCTATAAAATATTGTTGAAGGAAATTAAGGAATAGCGAAAATAATTTTGAAAAGGAAGAACAAAATTTAAGGACTCACACTTCCCAATTTCAATACTTACTACAAAGCTACAGTATTTATAACAGCACTGGACTGACACAAGAATAGAAATAGGCTAATGAAACACAATTGAGAGTCCAGATATAAACACTTATAACTGGCCAACTGACTTTCAAAAAAAGGTTTCAAAGCAATTCAATATGAAAAGGATAGTTCTTTTAAAACAAATGATGGCGGAAAAACTGGTTATCTTTATACAAAAAGATGAATTTAGAACGCCTATGTCACTCCATGCACAAAAAGTCAGTCAAAATGGATCGGAGAGCTAAATGTAAGGGGTAAAACCACAATTTTTAGAAGAAAATCTTCATGACCTTGGATTAGGCAAAGAGTTCTTAGATAAAACACTAAAAAGCACAATCCATAAAAGAAAAATAATAAATTGGACTTAAAACTCAAAACCTTTGCCCTTCCAAAGACACTATTAAGAAATGGAAAGCCAAGCCACTGACTAGAAACAAATATTTTCAAATCATATACCTGATAAGGACTTTTATCTAAAATATAGAAAGATCACTTACATATCAATAATAAGGGAAACTAATTAAAAAAATGGCCAACATATTTAATAGACTTTTCTCCAAAGGAGACATACAAATGGCCAACAAACAGATGAAGATGTTCATTATTAGTGATCAGGGAAATGCAAATCCAGACCACAATGAGATGTTATTAGTTCGCACTAACAAGAGCAGCTCTAATGTTTTTTAAAGGAAAAAGTACAAGTGTTTGTGAGGATGTGGAGAAATTAGAACTTTCATACATTGCTTCTGGTGCATGTAAATACAATAAATGTAAAATGTGCTACCCTGGAAAAACAAATTGGAAAAAATGTAAACATACAGTTGCAAATTGACCTAGTAATTCCACTTCTAGGTATTGAAAACATGTGTCCACCCCAAAATTTTCATATGAATATCCATAGCAGCTTTAGTCACAATAGCCCAAAGGAGGAAATAACCCAAATGTCCATAAAGAGATGAATGGAGAAACAAAATGTGGTATACACACACAGCAAAACATTATTTAGCCCTCAAAAGGAATGAAGCAATGATTCATGCTGTAACATGGATGAACCTTGAAAATACCATGCTAAATAAAAGAAGCAAGTCACAAAAGACTATATACTGTATGATTCTATGTATAATGAAATGTCTAGAATAGGGAAATCCATAGGTGCAGGAAGTAGCTTAGATTGCCTGATGCTGGGTGTGGTAACAGGGATTAACTGAAAATGGGCAAGGGAGATGCCACTGAGGTGATGGAAATATAAAAAACCGGATTGTAGTGATGGTTGCACCACTCAATAAATTTACTAAAAATCCGTGAACTGTACACTTAAAATGGATCAATTTTAAAGTATGTAAATTACATCTCAATACAAAATTTTAAAAACACCCTAGGAAGCAGAGGAACAAAGAAAGTCAGTTCATATCTTTGCCAACTTATTAGGGACCCTACAGAGCTCATTAGGCTGCTCTATGTTGTTGCTGTTGTAATGGCATGAATGGTGGTTTTCCCATAAGGGCTGAGGGTCAAATAGTGATTTGGATCTTTTAAAATAAAATTTTAAAAAATTTAAAAGATAGCTGCTGGCTTGAAATTTGGAGTAGCAGTGGGTGCAAAGAAAAGTAGACAGGTTTAAAAAATATTCAGGATGCAAAAGTGACAAGGTGTTGTACTGATTAGACATAGGGAATGGGAAAGAGTGAGGATGCCCCAGACAGCATGCTCCAAGTGCAATTCCTGTTGTCCTCCCAAATTTACTGTGTCCTCCGGTGCTACTAACCTCTGAGTGAAGCAGCCTCCTGGCACAGAGTAAGCATTAACTGACTGTCTTTGGAGGGAAAGAACGAATGAACAGAGTAAAAATATGGCCAAAGCATTTACCAGGTCCTGCCAGACAGCTGATCCTAAAGTCACCCTCAAGGTGGGCCCAGCAGACGTCTATCACAATTTCCCTCGTGCCTTATCGACCATTTGGGAAACCATCAGGGCCCATGGCCAGAAGAACACCCAGCGTCATATCAGCCAATCCTTGCCTAGAACCTGCAGATGTGGCACAGCCCGGGTTTTACCATAGAGCCTGTATTCTTTACATGAAGGCAATGGCAGATGCATGTACAGCCTATATGAGCAAGGGGGACCTCTGGAGTTGTAGAAAGAGGGTCACGGTGGTGCCCAACTGACGGATCTATGTTCACTTTGGGGGGATCTATGATCGGGTTGGGGAGCTCACTTTGGCTCCAAGCAGTAAGAGACTCTTGATACCAAAGAGGTTTGTTAACCCAGGCCGGCCACATGCGCACGCATGCGCATGCACACACACACACACACACACACACACACCACACCACACCACACCCCCCCTCCCAGTCCTGGCAGGCGGAAAACATAGCTGCCACAAACAATACAGACACCAATTGATTAGTTTGGGTATTATACTGCCGTTCCCAGGGTTGACAAGCAGAGACACAGAGCTGCTTGTGGCTCTTGATAGGGATACCAAAACAAGGAAGTGATCCGTCCCAGTCCAGACTTCCCAGAAATAAGGAATGAGGTGGGGTATGCAACAGGTACCCCCAGACTCAACCAACCCAGTGAACATGCCTTTCACCATACTAGTTCTGAGATAAAGTATAACCTCTTTTAGGTAGGGTGAGAAATAAACACATTCACCTCTCACCTGTTGTGAAGATTATAGTGTTTTGCATAATGTATCATTGTTATTATTATCATTATCCCAAGTTCCCTGTAAGGTGGAATCAGAATAACATCACAGTGTTGGCCCATAGTGTTTGTAATTCTTCTTTGCCTTTATAGTTAATTTAATGTAAAATAAATTGTATGTAATTTTTGCTATACTGTTATGTGAGTGTTCCTGCATGACAGGCTGAGGTTTTTTTTTTCCAGCAATTAGGTATACAGTTAAGTCACTCAAGTCTTTTATGATGAGACTTTTTGCTAGGCAGTGTATTATGCTCATTCAACACATAACATTTTGGTAAAACAATCATCTAACGGTAAAGCATTCAGAAGGGCATTTTTCAGAACTGACATTCAGCTAAGGCACTGAATGAATGAATGTGTTTTTTCCCCAGTTTTCAGAGCGGTCAACAGTATTTAAAAGGCTTTTCATAATTGTGAGACAGGGACCATGGGTGTAGTCAGAGTAGGGTGAGGGCCTCCAAAAAAAGCAAGGCAGGATATCTGCAGTCAGAGCAATGTAAGTACATGCAAGGAAACCCCGTAGTAAAACTCTGTGTTAAACATTCAGCTCTGGAGTCATTCTTCAGTGAGATCTGTTGGTGTACCCCCAGATAAAGAAGAGTAGCACATGTTTATTTTATGCCAATTATTTATAATTATGTATAAGATTCACTTTAACAGGCTAAAAGGCCCAAGCCTATGTGCTGTCTTTCCTCCTTCAGATCTAATGAGGTGATTTTGCAAACTGGGCACATTAATTTAGCACGCAAGCCCAGCCATAACACAGTAAAAGGCAAGAAGGATTCCACCTTAAAGATAAGATTGCACTTGACCTACTCTTTAGCAAACAATGCCTCAGCCCACCTTGGGGCCTGAGCAGGTGGCCTTGCTTCATATGCCCCGAGACCAAGATGCTGGTATCTCGGGGAGAAATCAACAGAGCAGGGGGTTACTTGTATCAAGGTACTTGTAAATGTTCTAGGACCACTTAGTAAGTCCACACCCCTAAGCTTTTTTTCATGTTCTGGAAAAACCCTCATCTGCCTATAAAACCCCCTAGACAACGCACCACCCCTCCTCTCTTGTCCCCTCCTGGCGTGAGCCGGGAGCTCTGTTCCTTCACTTTATCTCTAAATAAAAGCCTGTACCTTGCTCTCCTACCTTGACTGTTTGTGAAGCTCATTTTTCGGCTTCGTGAACAAGAACCCTGGCATCAACTGTATTTACAACGGAGAGAGAGCTTCCTTGCCTAGCTTCACTGTGCTGCCACTCCCGACTCTTACTAGGTATCCCTGCTCAGGAGGGGCAGACAATGGGTAAAATCTGGGCAGAGAACATTAGTGGATATTAGAACGAAACAAAGTCAGTGCTGCAAGGTTTTGCAGACAGCCAAATTTCACCTTCCACTCCACTGCCGAGCAAAGGGCAGTAAGGGCTGGGTGGGGACTCGCTGAAAGCTAGACACCAAGTTAGTGACAAATACACGGCGAAGTAGGATCGCGTTAGAAACAATGTACATTGGGGGTCAGTCCCAATGCAAGCTTGCTGCAGCTCTTTCTCAGCGCTAGGCCCTTCTGGCCCTGCTCTGATCCCTGAGCGGACGCTGTCACTCAACTGGCACAAACTGTGACGACAGCCCTGCAGTAAGACACGGGTGGCCGTCTCTTCTTCCCGGTTTAAGGTGCGTACCACCGCCCTAGGGCCGAGCAACCGGGGTGGGAGCCGCCGTCTCCGAATGCGCCAGCCCCGAAAACAAGCGCTTGGACAAATCCACATCGCACCCACCCAAGACACCCGTTTCCCGATCCACGGGGCGGGACTCACCTGTGCTGGAGGTCGCGACTCCCAGGGCAGCAAAGCGGGAGGAACTGCAAGCAAGGAGAGCACCGAAAGGCAGCCTCGAGCCTGCCTTTTGCTTTCTCCCTGAAACTGTCGGCCGCGCGCTCCCCTCCCCCAGCCCGTTCGGGACCAGCAGCTACGCTGGAGGCTCCGCCCCACTCTTTCCGGCTGGCAGGGTGGAGTGGGGGTGCCCAAGAGCCTCGGGTCCAGGATGATCGAGTTGGGGAGCTCTAGTCAATCGCCTTCATTTAACAGATGTACAGCCACAGGCGCAGAGAACAGACGGACCCATAAGTCGATCCTGCCTGTAAAACCCGGGGGGCCGCGCTAGCGTTTCGGTGCTCCTCTGGAGTCTCTCCACTGCGCTCCTGTTTATGGCGGCTTACTTATGGATGCTTCCTGGAAGTAAAAACTTCCACTATCCCTCCACCGCTTTCTTGAACGAATATCACGTACCACTCACTGCTGGACTCCCACGAATTCAGTTGAGCACCTTGAATCCGGGGTCCAAGTACAGTGCTAAATACAGTGAGCACCAGAAGATAACGGACCATTAGAAATATACATCTTATTTAACCGATAAGGCAAAGAATGAATGAACAGAGTAAAAATATGGCCAAAGCATTTACCAGGTCCTGCCACACAGCTGATCCTAGACCCACCCTTAAGTTCGGCCAAGCAGATGTCTATCACGATTTCCCTCGTGCCTTATCAAACAATAAGTGTTACAAAGAAGGACCAAAAAGTCCCCTGGGATAGTATATACAATGTGAATCCAAGGCACAGAAAAAAATCAAAAGTAAGAGCAAACAAACAAGAAATGTAATGTGTAGACATGAGAAAATGGGAAACTCAGCAGTACTGGAGTTATTACAAATGGAAAATATTAGTCTAATGTCAAAGGGTAGTAAAGGAGATAGTTTGTACAAGTCAGGAACAACAAAAGAAGAAAAAGTCTTCATACTCCACCCTGAAATTCTTTCTGCCCCTACATGTCAATTTGGAAAACTTTTTTTGCTCAAATTAGGTATTACCTCCTCTGTGAATGCTTCCCTCTGTTTACCACATAACTTTGTATTCTCCTTTTCAATGGGTCCACTGTGCCGAGTGGATCCAATATAGGCCTTGAACATACCACTTATCATTCTGGATTATAATTTGATATAATTATAATAATAATTAAAATGCCTGGGTCCTCCAATGAACAGGTAGCTTCTTGAGGAGAAAACTCATATTTTTAAAATTTATTTTACAAGACCTGAGTATAGAACCTAACATACAATATGTATTTAGTGAATATTTGTTGAAAATTGTGCAGACCCAGTGAGTGCACAGAAAAAAAGTTATAGGTAGGAATTTGAATTAATATACAAAGAAATAACTGAACAAGGTAAGATTCTAGAATGGTATTCAGCCATGTAACAAACATTAATAAGTACCTGCTGTACACCAGGTGCTGTATTAAGCTCTTGACATAAAATGGTAAACAAAAACCGGATAGAGTCCACGCCTTTACGGAATCTAAAGAATAACTAAGAATCGGCTGGGAAAACAGGAAAGGGAACATTCTAGACAAAAGGAACAGCATGATCAAGATCCTATAATAGGAAGGAGCATGACAGTGTTAATTAGAGTGAATAATATCAATAAAGGTAAGGTGAAATCAGCAGATAAAATACCCAAAAAGAGGCAAGAAATTGATTGATAAAGCCTGTTAATTTAAGATTTGGAAAAAGAAGCCAGTTGTCTGAGTAATAGTAACCAACATTTATTAAACCTTCACTGTATGCCAAATGCTGGGCTAAGTGTTTTAAAACAAGGTAGATAATATTATTACCTGCTTTGAGGGTAAGGAAACTGGGGTACAAAGAAGTTAAGCAATTTCACCAGGATCACACATCAGTTAAGTTTGGGCTGGCATTCAAACATAGGTAACCTGGTTCCAGACCCAAGGGTAGGAATTGTAATAAAAGCACAAATAAAAACTACAAAGAACTCTTTCACAGAATTTGTTCATTGTTCGCAGATTTTTGGCATCTATGATAAATAATACTAAGAGCTTCAAGAAATACTCTGCACTCAAATATTAATGCTCTAGACATGATTTTGGCATAGACATTGGTTGGTATTGGCAGTGATAGTAGTGTCTTTAGTAGGTGATACAATCAAGCAGAAATGATCATGACATTGCACATCAGAAGCATGCTAGAGCAGAGGAAGAAGAAAATAGTAGTGACCTGAGTGCTATTTTGTGGAGCACAAAGCAAAGGACAGAGCAAAGGATTTCACCTCTCTGACCTTCAATTTTCTATTTCACAATTGGGCATAATAATAGTATCTGTGCGTCACTGTGATTATTAAAGAGACAATGTGTGTAAAGTACACCATGTGTGACACACAGTAAATGCTTAATAAGTATTACCTGCTATGATGATTATTACTATTATAATGATACATTTTAAGTGAGTGAAGGAGCAGAGGCATGATCAATCAGGGACGTTGTTCAGGTTCAATTTGAGGAAGATGACATGGAATATCAGATAAATATTGAATGGTTAGTGAAACAGAAGTGTATGTCCTCCTATTTGCATCAACTGCATCCTTTCCCCCCCTCATTTTCAGTTAGCACTTACTATTCTATGTTGTAATTGTTTACCTGTTGGTTTCCCTCATTACAATTTCTGTGTGTTTGTGTGTGCATGAAGCAGCTAACAGTGTCTGGCACAGAGTGGAAACTTAAAAGAGTATTTGTTGAAAGAATTAATTAATGTCTGAATAAAAGCAATAGGTACAAATAGGTAAAATAAGAAAGAAAAAAAACCCAATACCATCTGGGCTTTTGTATGTTTCAGCCACACTGGTATTCTTTGTATTCCCAGAATACACCAGATTTGTTCCTGCTCTGCTTACAAAAATATGATCTGCTTATCTATTTCTCTCTACCTGCCCTGCTAACAGTCAAGGCTAAGGGTTGGTGATTTTTTTCTGTAAAGGGTCGGATAGTAAATATTTTAGGTTTTGTGAGACACACCAAGACTTTGCTGCTACTCAATTCTACCTTCATTGAGCAAAAGCAGCCACAGAAAATACTTAAATGAAGAGTGTGAATGTGTTCCAACAAAACTTTACAAAAACAGGCAGGATGCAGAATTGGCCTGCAGGCTATAATTTGATGACCTTGCCCTAGACTAAATTATCTCCATTTCTTCCATGGACTTTTGTATAAGAATGATGTGTAGGAGCCATCATCTTTGGCCAAAATCTACATCTAGTTTTATCAGTCTAAATGAATCTTTCATGCTCTCCAATCCTGTTCAGAACCTTAAGAGTTGTTGAAAAGTGATTCAAACTGTGTAATATGATTTTGAATTTTGATTTGTCAAGGTGATCCTTAACAGAAGCAGTTATTACAGATCTTTGAAAAAGTCTTAAAAATGAAGAAGAATCATAGTAAAAGTGACTTTATTATGTAATTGAAGTGGCTTTTAGCCAGAAAATAAATATTCTGGACACAGTGCAATATTGAATTTGGCTGAGGCCTTGGACTATGACAACAATTCTGCTATATACCCTATACAGAAACAAATAAATGCTCAAACTTTTCAGAAATCATCTAGGCCACGCAAAATTTTCCTTGACTACTGATAGTTGAGAATTTGGTAAAAACTGAAAAGTGTATTAATTTGTGTCTGAGGATATGAACATTTATGACTGTCACAGAAATATAATTCAGTACAAACTCAGTAGCCTGTACAATGACTTTTGCAGTGTAGAGGTATTTCATTAGTTGAAAGTGAAAAAAACTTACCTGAAACTTAAGTGAAAGAGTGATTTATGTCCCATAACTTTTTTGTGTCTTACAAAATTCAAGGAGTGGAACAATCAAAACTTGGAAAGGGCAAGTTACACTTAGGCCTCAAGAATGGTCAAAACCAAGGAAAATACCAGTAAGACTATAATCATTCTTTTATCTCTACCCTTCCCTGTACATTTATTTGTATGTTCTCTCTCTCCACCCCCCACCCCATCTGTCTCCCTCCTTCTCCCTCCACCTTCCCTCTTCACTTACCCCCAAAAGCTCCTTTAATTTCTCAAGTGCATGCAGCAGGAAATACAGTTACTGACACCTTCTTTAATTTTCATCTTCCAGCTTCAACCACTGGTAAGAGACACTATGTCACACTGAGTCCTCTGAAAAGTGGATGCCAAGATAGAGTAAGAAGTCCAGAGATCTACTGTGAGTAATGGTGTATAAGATAAAGATGAGGAGTGGTAATAGGCAGGGAGAGACTTCAGACCACAGAACAGGTCTGACACTTATTAGATGAGAGGAAATGAAGAAGGAATGAGTTGGCAATGCTTCAGATTACAGTGCAACTCTATGAAAGTCTCAGCCAGCCCAACTGGGAACTCCAGAGCAAAGGGTGCTGATTAGAGGAACCCCACATTGAGCAGAAATGGCCCTAGTATCACTCCTGTGCTCAGAAATTGGTTGGGTTGGGTATGTCCTTAGATGGAATGATGCTAAAATATCTCAAAAGTGCTACAGTTGGAGGCTGTTGTCTGATTCCACTCTTCACAGTAGATTTTCTCTTAAAAGAAAAGCTGAAAGACACCTCCATGGTTGCCACAGACACTATGGTCCCATTTCCATAAATCCGGCCAAGTGTAAGTTTGGTAACCATCCAGGATCAATCAACTGTAATAAGGTGAACAATGCCATACTATGCTAAAGGACAGTTTTCAAGAGTGACCAACCATCCCAGTTTCCCTGGGGCTGAGAGATTTTCTGGGACACAAGACTTTGCTGAAACCAGTCCCGTCCAGGAGAAACTGGGATGGTTGGTTATCCTAGTGGTACCCATGTTAATAGGGGTAAGAGACACTTAAGACAATCGTACAAGATTGTATACTACACAATCATATTTTACTGTGTTTTATGAAGAAATTCTATGTTATAGTGGTCATATTTAATTAGGAGAATTTATGAAGTTCTCAGAAATATTCCCTTGAAAATGCAAAAAGTCTCATACTTTATTTTTTGTCATGCTCACTCGCTTGTGCATTCATGCTTCTCTCACTGAAAGAGCAACAGGAATGAAGGCTGCACCAAAAAGCATACACCTGGAGAAAA